CGGGAGGCTGAGGCAGGAGGATCGCTTGAGCCCAGGAGTCTGAGGTTGCTGTGAGCTAGGCTGATGCCACGGCACTCTAGCCAGGGCAACAAAGTGAGACTCTGTCTCAAAAAAAAAAACAAAAAAACCTTCACCACCTTCTGCTGTGATTCTAGGCTCCTCTCCTTCCTTGGGGTCTGTTTCCTATCTGTAAAATACGATAACAGTACCTGCTATGGAAGGTATTTTGTTCATTCATTTAACAAATACTTCATGGGCTGGGCACCACATCTTGAAACTCACAGTCTATGATGAAGGAACAAGCATAAATTCTTCAAATGTCATAGGTACATAATGTGAATGTGTGTGGGACCTATTTTGGATGAGGTGGCCAGGGAGGGCCTCTGAGAAGACAGCTGAGCTTATACTCCACCGAGTGGCCAGAATGGAAGCATGACAGGCAGAGGGAGAGCCTTAGGTGAGGTCTGGAAATGCAGAAATCAGGTCACACGGGGCCTGGAAGGCATGGGAAGGAGTCTGAATTTGTTTCAAATCAGGGGTCAGCAAACTCTGGTCCACTGCCTGCTTTTGTACAGCCTGTGAGCTAAGAATGGCTTTTACATTTTTTAAGAGACTGGGAGGGCAAAAATAACTAAAAGAATAATAATGTTATTATCACTATTATAAACTCAGATTTCAGCATCTATCAATTAAGTTTGAGAATTTACGAATAAAAAATAAGATGAGGACATGTGTGTTCTCTCTTGTTAAATAAGTGCCTACATAACATCCTTGTTTTGCCTCTGGGACTGCAAAGCCGAAAACATTTGCTGTCTAGTGTTTTACAGGAAGAGCTTGCCAACCATGCTCCGATGGCCTGGGCAGCAAGGAAGGGTTTAGAGCAAGGGGTGGCCCAGTCAGGTTAAAAGACACCCCCACCCCCACCAGTGCTGTATGGAGACCAATGGAGCAGGCAACAGGAGGCAGGAATCCCATTAGGAGGTGGCCTGGACCAGGCTACGGAAGGCAGGGCAGTGGAGGGAAGGCAGCAGGAGCGGGGTGTTTTAGAGGGAGATGTGGTTTCTGAAAGCATCTAGCCCTGTGTCCGCCACCTGTTCCAGAGTGACCGCTACCCCACTATCCACCTCACCTGGCAACTCTGGTTCCATCACCTGACCCTTTGCTGCATCTCCAGGCTGCTTGGCCCCAGCAGCTACCGGGTAGGCAGGACCTCTGGTTTCAGTTCTGAGCAGAGGTCCCAGCTTGCTGGTGATTCTTGCAGAGACAGGTCCCTATTTCCAGAGTCACTGCCTCCTTCCCTCTACTCATACACAGCGGTGGGGCTCTGAGCTCCTGGCTTTTACTTTGGGGGCCCAGGCCTGGAATTCTGGAAAATGAAGTATGATGAGCACAGGCAGCAAGCAGCAGGTGTGGTCACAGCCAGGCACACACGTGCTCCTGGGACAGACACACAGATACATCCAGGCTAGGCTTTTCACAACCTCGGTGCACCATGGCCTCCTCCTCTCAAATTAAAGACACGTGTTCAGGCTAGGCACAGTGGCTCGCACCTGTAATCCTTACACTCTGGGAGGCAAGGTGGGAGGATCGCTTGACCCCAGGAGTTCGAGGCCAGCCTGGTAATAGTGAAACCCTGTCTCTACAAAAACAAACAAATCAACCCACCACGCAAACACACACCTGTACGTGAATGTTCACAGCTGCATCACTTATAATATCACAAGAGCTGAAATCAACCCAAATGTCCATCGACTGATGAACGGGTAAACAAACTGGTCTATTCATACCATGGAGTATTATTCAGCCACAAAAAGGAACAAAAAGGCC